TATATATATATATATATATATATATATATATATATATATATGGGGGAGATGTAGGGCACCAAGGCGCCACAACCCTGCTGTCATTTCCTGCCTCTCAAGCAGCTTTGGCCCCACCCCGAGGCACTTGGCACGCTTTCCCGAATGGCGTGATCCAGCCACCAATCGTGATACCTGGTGCGCTTTCCCGAATGGTGCTATCCAGCCACCAATCGTGAGCTGACGCATAAGATCAGGAGCAGCCAGAGCCATTCAGACTCGGACACGTCTCAGGCTTTGTTCTGCAATGCTTATAAGCCGTGCGTGCCAGGGTCTGGGGTCCTTCACCATCAACCTCAAGTTGTGCGCTCCCAATAAAATTACGTTCTGAGAAGAATCCTGTTGTGGTCGTCTCTTCTGCTGGTGGAAAAAAGACCAAAGCTAAAAGTGCATATAAATGACATTGTATTTGTGAGTTTGGTAGACACGTGTGCAGACATAAGTATCATTACTCAAGAATCTTGGCATCCAAATTGGCCTCTTTAAGAGGCAGATGTTCAATTCCTAGGAAATGGAACCCTATCTCAAGTGAAATAAAGTACAAGACAGGCTAATGCATAGCGCCAGAAAAAACAGAGAAGGCAACTGAGGCCATAGGTGGCTAATATCAAAGTGAATTTATGGGGTCATTACCTGCTGCAGCAATGGAATACCCAGATTAACATTTCTGCAATTTAAGAAACTCCTATTTCTGGGAAGGATATTGTAAGGTACTATACACAAAGAACACCAATCATTCAGGCTGTGCAGGAACACAAAGCCACTAGCAAACCTTTAGAGGTACCAGCGGCCCTACCTTTAAAATGGTTAACTGAGAAACCAATATGTGTTAAATAGTGGCCTTTAATGAAAGACAAAATGCAGTCTTTAGAACAGCTATGGATACCATAAAAATTAATAAAGATTCAGTTTGAAAAAGAGAAACCTCTTGAGAAAGAGAAATGACAGCTCATCCACAGAGGTGACAAGCATACAGGTAGTAAAGAAAATTCATAAGGGTTGGGGCAGGTTTCTATTTTTGTCTTTGCAGGAAAATACTCATCTTCAAAAACAAAAATAAAACAAAACAAAACAAAACACAAAAAAACAAAAAAAATGAGACCTTGGACATCTAGATGCCTAAAGGAGAAAAGATGACTATCCAGAAAGAATCACCAAGCAAAGAGAATTATGACTTTTGAGGACAGGTCATCTGAGGGTAAGACTCTCTGAACATAATAGTCATGACTCACTTAAAAATCAAAGTTGGCTTTGGAGTTAGACAATGGCTCCGTCCTTCTCTAAATCCAAGCATGTTGTTAAAAGAGAAATTCAGAATTTCTCTCTCATGTCAGGAGCCATCTGGTATGGGACATAAAGAAGAAAGAATTTAGAAAAAAAATTACTTTTCTTCATACCTATTTTTGTCTCTATCATACCTTTCATTGAATATATGTCTGTATAAATAATGCTTAAGTTTTTCACAATGAACAATGAATTTTCCTGCAGTAATCTTTGGAGTTTCCAGGAAGAAGATGGGACCCCACAACAATGACACCACCTGGTTGATATAACATCATGATGCTGATAGCACTACTATAAGACCTGTTTTGGCTACCGACTGCTCAAGATGGTTCCAACTTGGTTAGCTGAAATGGTGCACCTTTTATAACATTCTGGCCGAAACTCTAAATGGAATCCCCAGAAAAACCCTACTGAATACTCAGAGGCTATTTGCAATTATATCAGACAGGAATCTTGAAACTTAACCATTATTTTACTTTCACAGGACTCCATAGTAAAAAAAAACCATCACTCCCATGACAGCTGGAAGTAATTCTAGAAGACAACATCCCCTCTTCCAACAAAGTTTGTCCTCAGGGTTAGGGATGTCAATTAGGGGTTGATTATAATTGGTATAGGATTGGGGGTTGGGGTAGAAATTATGTAAGCTCAGGATCTCTTTTAAAAAAAATGGGAAATTGGATGGGATAATAGATAGATTAGTATGAGCAAACTCACACCAATCATAGTGAGTAATTGAGTGAATACTTATGAGCTATTATTTATAGGCAGTTTATACTGGTATGGATTTTTATATATTGTTACAAATTCAAATTATATTGACTATGTTCCTATTTCTGTTTATAGTATCTGAACACCCAGGCAAAGTTATTTTGCCATATTGTATGCATACATGCTTCTACCTCTGCTTAAGACATTTTGTATATTGATATAATTTTAGGATATATTTATCATATTGAAATATACATTTCTACCTCTGATCAAGATACTTATACACTGTTTACATTTGAGGTCATTGTCCTCATTTGTTGCACAATTGTTTAAAGATTGTTTAATATTCTAGTATGAAGTCTTAGTCTTTAAGTTATATAGGTATTAAGAATTATAGGTCAATAGTCATCCATGTTTGTCATAGTTAGACTGATGAGGTTCTTTAGATACATAGAAATTGTATTCTGCATAGATATGTAATCTTCAACTACTTCAAAGAGCTGTAGAATATGGCATTTAAATAACTTAGGGTTCTGTTGACGTGAGACATGATTGCTCCTGACAGCACCAATCTATTCCCGAGAGAATGTTGAGCACTGAAGACACTCCACCTGGAGCTTGTTTTCTTCTTGGCAAAACTGGCCTCTGGGCAAGCAACTGCCCATGTATCAACCACTGACAAAATGCATGATGTCTGGACAGGACAAGCAGGATACAAGAAAAAAAGACTGTCAAATCTTGCCAAGACAGGGTTAGGTATCTTTGAAAATTTTCCTGCCTCTGAAAATGGTCTGTCAGTTACTCTAGACCTTAGCCAAAGTTGGTTGCTTCAACATTGTAAATGAGACTTGAGTGATTGCTCAGGTAGCCAGTTGTCTCTGTCATTTGTTGCACATTTTGGAAGTTGCTTGATTGCACTTCCTGTTCGCTCAAGTAATATTATTTCTCTTCTTAGGTCTTTGATGGGGTTGAAGACTAGATAGTTGTAGTTACTTGGCCAAGTTATTTATAATACAAGACTTAGACTCCTAAGGATAGGATAATTATTGAAACATTTATTACATGCTTCTTGTTTGATGTTGTTTATGCTGCTTAGAATTCTAATTTTTACACTTGATATTGTTCTTATTGTATATAATTTTGTATTAGGCTCACAACTCTCTTATTTAAACAAAAGGGGAAGGTACTGTAGGAAATCCTTCAGCCAGTAGTTGCACATGTGCACGCTCCCTCTCTCTCTTCTGGCTGTTGGATTCAGTTGCTGTTCTCCATTCTAGCAGAGGACTGTGATCTGTGAGTCTACTCCTAAATAAATAACCCTTTATTATACTCAATTCTAATCTAGTGTGGGATTTCTTTTTAGTGTCCATCTTCATTTCCCCATATATATTTTAGAAAGAAATATATATATCTAAAGGGAATTTATCTGAATGACTTACAGTCTTTGGTCTGGGTAGTCCAACAACAGTTGTCTCCTGGTGAAAAGAAGCTCTACAGTTGTTTAGTGCACATGAGTGGATGTTTCAGCATCCCAATCTGGTGTTGGATTCCTGCAGGATTCCTAGAGAGCAGCTTGTCTTCAGTGCACATCAGAGGAATACTTCAGCAGCAAAATAGACGAATTTGTTATGGAGAGTGAGGAAAGGCATGCAGAAAGTAAAATCCCTTCCATGTCCTTGTATGTGGGCTGCTACCAGATGGTATGGCCAAGATTTAGAGTAGTTCCCCTTCCTCAAATATTCCACTCAAAAAGTCCCTCCTAAGTGTGCCCAACTGTGTGGGTTTTAGTTCTCTTGAGTGTCATTCAATTTGACAACCAATATTACCCATCACACCCTGGAAGGAGTTTTGGAACTCTGGTTCATTCTCTCTCTCTCTCTCTCTCTCTCTCTCTCTCTCTCTCTCTCTCTCTTCTCTCTCTCTCTTTCTCTCTCTCTCTCCTTTTCAGCTCCCGATGTAAGCAGTTCACTCTACGCATGCTCCCCACCATCATCATCTGGCACCATTACAGAGGAGAGGCCCAAAGCTTCAAGACACACCCCATTAGCACTGACACACCTTCAGAACCATGAGCTACATAACTCTTTTCTCTTTATCAGCTAATTGACTAGCTGAGGAATACAGAAATTTGGTACCAAGGAAGAGGGCCATTGTCATCCACTTGAAGAGGTGGAGGAGCCTTTGGAATTGGTTTGTGGGAAGAGTATGGGGGATTTTGGATGAACAAGCTAGAGCAATCCTAAAATGCTACTGAGAGGGCTGGATAGATAGCTCCATGGTTAATAGCACACGCTGCTCTTCTAATGGACCTGAGTTCATCTCCCAAGTACCTAGGTCAGGGAGCCCATAGCTATTTATAACTCCAGAACCAGGGATCTGATGCTTTAGGCCTCAGCACTCTCAAGTACATGTGCTCACACGTGCAAACAGACACACATACACACATATAATTGCACATACTCACATAGAGACAGATACATGCACACTCTTGTATATAAACACACATATATATACATATACACATGATTAAAAATAAAATAAATCTTAACAAACGTGGCTAAGAGGAGCTTGATGTGGAACAGTTGTGATGGCTCTGAAGAGGACATTGATAGCAATGTGAATAGTGATAAGTCAATCTGACTAATGCCTTCAGGATTGTTTGTGGAACTGGAGAAACGGCCCTCTTACTGACACCACGGCAAAGACTTGAACTATGCCGTGGCATTTTATGAATGGCTAATCTTAAAGACAATGAACTGGTTTACCTGACAAACACTGATTTTTTTCTCTATTTTTTCATTTTTATTAGTTCTTTGATAATTTTGTACAATAT